GATTAACGAAAAAATTCGATTTCTCAAAAGACTCTTTTCTCCGCCCAAAATCCTCAATCGGGCCCCGGGGCCCGAGTGCCAACAAAATTCTCTGTTTTCTTTTCCTTCACTGGAATTAAAAGTTTGACAACAATTTATAAAGCAATTATACCCCAAATTATGTATTGGCTACTAAAAAATCGGTTCAGAAAAATTCACTGGGTAAATTGTTTCTAGATTTAGAGGGTTTTTCAAACTCCTCGTCAGGAGTTGAGAGGGTGGGCCCATGGTGAGGGTGCAGAAGACCAGTGGAAACAGTGAAATCCATGATATCAATTACCCCTCCAACGTCGGACGACTGGAGCCTGCGGAAGCGGATTAGCAAAGGCCCCAGAAGGCTCATCGAGATTTTCCATCCATTCCCCTTTCGGATGCTTGCAAAATCATCGATCTTCATCCATTAAATCACCGAAATTATTATTAATAACACCAGAACCAAAATCTTCTCTCCATCCATCGAAATTAGATAAATTGACATCAATAATTCCTGCAATTACCTCGAAGCGTCTGTTGCAACAATTTATTATGAAAAAAGCTCATAAATATTTTAATAAATATTATAAATTAATTAATATTTAATATATAAATCTTAATATATATTGTATAATGCCGACCGCTTTAAATTTTATTCAATAACAATTTTATTCAGTAAAAATTTTACAATTCGAGATATTACGATATATAATTAAGAAATCGATATATTTTGATCGATATGTGGGGTTTTCGGGTATCTTCGAGGCCTCGGTCTTAACTTTATTTTGTTGGACACCAATTTTCTTCGGATGATATCAATAATCATTGGAATACACTCCACGTGGAATTTTGCGATGAAAAACAGCGATGAAAAAAAAATGGTGGATGAAAAAAATCGAGATTCTTCTTGGAAGTTTCTAAAAACCCCAGAGACCCGGTATCACCCACAAAGACACGAGATTGACATCCAGATAACCGATACGTATCCTCTTCAAGTCCTCGAGATTCAATGAACCTTCACAATCGCTTTTTTTATCCATCAAAGTCACCCTGTTGTCTGAAAAAATTGAATTTGCAAGAATCTTCCCCTATTTTCATCCCCCAAAATTCACCGTAGATACGGATTCGGGGAGTTCTTCTAAATTTTATTAATTCGCTACAGCTTCTGAAGTAATACTTTATTCAGTGTTGATCAATAAAAATTGTTCTAATTTTTTAATTTTTATGGTAAATGTTAATTTCTTTAGTGTGACTTTTGATCCTGAAATTTAGGGGAAAAAAAGTTGGAATATCTTGACAGCATCCCTGATTCACTGACAGAGGGGATAAATAATTTGAGGGCCCTCCAGAGTCGACCCGCAAGTCCCTAGCTGTCTGTCTCCTGTCAGTCTTCTTTCTGGTGAGCAATCCCTCTTGTGATAGGTGCTGTCGAGGTGTTTATCCCAGGGTGACCTATTGGCCCCTCTTGTAACGTATTACGTTTCACAGTCAATTACTTTGAAACAACAATTCTCCCGTTAATATTTCACCATTCCAATATTTTTTAAATTTTCGTAATAAAAAATTGAATTATTCATTCTCTTCGATACTAATAAATTTGATAAGGAGTTATAATACTATATAATAAACATTATTCATGATAATTGAATTATTAATCATTATTATATTTTAATTTGATCGGAAGAGCAAATTAATTCCTTCAATTCTTTGAATTTTTGAATTTTTAATTTTCGTATATTTTTCTGTAATTATAAAATTATTTAATATCGGAATGTTTTTTATTCCAATAATAACGAGCCTAAATAATAATTAATAAATCATCATTATGATTAATTACCATTAAAGATTAATAATAATAATCATTTCTTAATAATTATTTTTGCTCGTTATTACTAGAATAAAAAATTAATGGTTACCAGATAATTTCAATAATAATAAATAATTAAAAAAAGGTTGCGTGAAACATTTCCGTCGCTGTCGAATTATTCAAATGACTATTATCATCATTATTATGCGCAATTCCGAGTGAGATATCAATTACACCAAAGTGTCAATTCTTTGCTTTCTCAACTTCACTGGATTAGTTGCGTCATTATAAAATAAAAAATACATTATCAAAAATAAAAAAATCGCCATCTGGCGATTTGATCACGTAGAGCCAAAGTCATTGAAGAAATTCATAAAAACAAGATCCATTATCCAAGCATGAGAAAAGCCCAAGAAAGGGAGTACAGAGGGATGACTATGGCGCCTGACGGGGTGTAGAATTCGTCTGCCCCTCGCAACGGTGCGCGCAGCTTCCTTCAACCCTCCCGTCACCCCCGCCTTCCACCCTCGCCCCCACCAACAACCCGCTGTAATGCCCCTCGTTGCATTTTAAATCAAAGCCCGGAGGTAACGCAATCACCAGGCATCACGACGCTTCCACAATTTTCTACTTTAAGCTACTTTATGTATTAGCATCCCCCCCTTACTTGCCCACCCCTACCCTCACCACTCCTTCCAACCGTATGTCTCTGTCACTCCATCGCCACCCCCTAGCACATATCTCCGTACACTACCCTATTCCACCATTTTTTTTTTTTTTCGTCGAGTACATTTTTTGTATTCTCATGACAGCACCAAAACGTAGGGCCACGGGTAGGAGTCCTTTTCTTACCCCAACCATAGATTCTATATTACTCTCATTTTTTTTTTTTCACTGCAACTCGGAACTTTCAGACTCACCGGAGTTTCTCGTCATTTTCGATTGGTCTTAACCTATAATAGAAGCGAGTTATTGAATAATTCCGTTATTAAGTCGTGATTTTGCCGCCTGGCAGTGGAGGGATGGAGTATTAGCCTTTTGTGAGGTTAGGGAACTGAAAAAAGCTACTTTCGATAAGGTAACCTTGAAATCACGAGGCGACCTCTGATTCGAGATGATGCAACATATTTTTCGTCCTCTGTTGGGGCTCATTAGATTAGTTCAAATTAATATAATTCATTACTCAGCAGCCAGCGATTTTTCTAACAGTTTTTCTAGCGTGAATTGAATTTACTTTCGTCATGTGGAGCGCAGCATTTTTGTTTGATGTGAAGTTGACTACAAGTAGAAACGTGACGTTATCTGTTTTCTCTGTGAGTAGCTCTGAGTTATTGGTTGTGGCGCTGATGTCAGTTTCAGAAATATACTAAAGGATTAAATAATTAATTAATAAAGCGTTATTAAATAAAAATGGGATGAAATAAAGAAATAGAAAAAATGGTGACACGTCCGCAGACTAAGACCGAAGATAAAAGAAAAAGAATAAATACGCAACAATATTATTTTACATCGAATTGATCACATCACCGACTTTTTCGTTTTATACCCACAAATCTCAACCATAACCTTTTGCGTGATCTCGATTCAATTAAAAAATTGAATCTCGTTTTTGACGAATCTGAACTAACCAACAGCTGAATCAGCTCATCTCCAGGATGAAATAACCACAAAGACAAATTAAATAGGCTTTTCTAAAAAAAAACAATTGTACATACACAGGCTCTCGTCGACGGCACCTAGAGAAGCGTGGCGCCCTGGTAATCCACTCAACACCTAACGCGATTATCCTCCCTGGTGCTCGCCATATTTCTCCATCTCCCTTTCTCTCACATTTCCAACCCCTAAAATCATCTCCTCCCTGGAGACTCAAGAAAGCAACACGCCAAATTCGTCCAATAATTAACCCGAAAAAATAAATCAATATCAATATAAAACAAATAATGGTAATTCACTACTAGTTTCCACCATTTTCAGATCCATTAATCTTTTCTAGTTGAGGTATAATCTGCAGTAAATAAACAGCCTTAGTGTCGGAACTGAGTAGCTATTAATGAATTTAATCTCTTTGAGTCATCTCACTTATTTTTTGTCGATGTTCATGTAGCTGTACGGCCACCCCAACTTCATTTTTCCTTCAAAAAGCAATGAATTTATAATTAGATAAACAATAGTGTGAGGTGTTTGCGATAATTTTTTTTAAATAAATAATTTTTTCGGCCAGTTCCAAGCCTCACCAGGACTCGGTATCCCACGGCTCGCTCGGACCTAATTGAGTTCGACTCAATTTTATCCTCTCCTTTATTTTTAATAATTATCAAAGTGAATAATAGCTCAGAAAAATTTGGAAATTAGATGGAGCAGCTATACGGAGAGAAATATTTAGTAAAAATTACGGAACTTTCAGTTCACTTACTGATTACGGAGTTGATTCGAAAAATTTAAGTGACGGTATCGTTATTTTTCACCGATAATTCAGATAAAAATTACGGAACACCGCAGAAAAATTCCGTGACTTTAGATAAAAATTACGTGACAGTCCCGTAAAATTTCCGACAACCACATTTCGCTCCAGAATTACGGAAAATATACGTAATTTTTATTGAATATTTCTCTCAGTGTATGCGCCCCAATTACCTAAATAATAATAAACAATAAACAAAATTTAAGACAAGAATTTCATAAACCGGCGATAATATTTTTCACCGGATGAAATCCAAGCTGGTAAAACCAAACTGGTAGCAATAGAGAATCACTTGTAGACCAGTAAACACAATTTACACCATCTCGTATCTGGTATATCGTCTGTTTCACTTTAATCAACGACATTTTCCTTGGGATCCATCCTGATACTCTCATCCCCTCGGTGGTATAACTGGGCTGGTGTATGTTTGTCGTCGTGTTATTTGCCCAATAAAACCACGTGGGGGAAACACCACCCCGGTTTCCGTGAAAGATGGTGGGACACCTCCCTCCCCTCTCTCCCTCAACACCCATGATATCACAGGTCGTGGGACGACGGGCGGGGAGGGGGGACGAGCGATAAGGGGGAGATTGCGAGAGAGGGGGGGGGGATAAAATGAAAATTGTGAACACGCCCATTGTTATCATACGCGCATGTCCAAGTAACGCCTACTGGAACGCACGCTTTCGGTGGGCAAACAGTTAGTGATCTCTTCTGATGTCACACGCTTTCGTGATCATTCACCAGCGATCACATCATTTAGAGGATCGTTCATGGGCAGTCGGCATTGCAATCTGATTTTTTTTCATACAATTTAATCATCGGATTCTGTGATTTAGTGATGATTGTTGAACATTTGTTGATGATGATTATCAATGATCCAGCGATTATCCTTGCGATCGATAAATTATCCTGGCATGACTGATCGAGTGATTTTTTTTTAATCAGTGAGACCTGCTTCTTCTTTTTTTTTTTTATTGAGTGATAGCGATATCACGTGATTGTTTATTGATTGATGTTGTAATTTGGAGGAACGGAAGTTACGTGTGTGGAGATTGTGGGGGGTTCCGCATTATTGCGGAGATTATTTATAAAGTGTTGTTCAGTCACGAGTCCAGGATTCTCACCTCCGGCGGTGGTGCTGTCTCGCCCGGGGGCACAGCCCCTCCTGCGAGCCCTACGACAGGACATTATCGCACGTCCACACACAGTCCACCACTGGTCAAGGTAAGATTCCTTGAAGATGACTCAATCAGTCGTGAACTCGTTGGACTGCAGTCCGTCCGACGGCGGGTGCAGCGTTGCCACCTCAGGACCCTAGAAAAATAAAAAAAAAATAACTAGATATAAAGGTCAATGGGGAATCCCCGCGAGGTATTCACGGGAATTCCGTGGGTTTTATATTTTAGAAATTTATGGTGACACGTGGAATGAGATATGTCGGGGATGGTAAGGAAATATACGGACAGATCTGAAATGTTCGACGGAAAATACTGAAGCGGACCGACGATGATGGGTATAAGGGTGTCTGTCAGGTCTAATTTTCGTCAGTTCTATCTACCCCAGCCTCGGTAGGAATCCCTGGAGGGACTCCAACGCCAGCTGTCTGCGGCTAAGCTTCTCTATCCAATGCGAAAAAGCTCGTCAAAAAGTTTCATGTAACCATCACAAGTTTTCCCGATTTTTTCCAACATGAGAATTAAATCATTTCAACTCATTCGAATAGGTTTTCCGTAATTAATCGCACGGTGATTTAATCATTGCCCCGTCCTCCATTGATTATCCTAAAAATTCAGAGCAATTAATTAACTGATGAATTTTAGCGGAAGCATTAATTTTGGTAAAAACGCATTTTAAATAATGAAATAGAATTTTGGCAGAAATAAATCGCAAGGAAAATTTGTATTGAAATATTTTGAGTCGTTTGTTTATAATAAATTTCATAATTTATTTAAGAGAGACAATAAAAAATAATTAATCGTTGCAATTGAAGTGAGAATATGAAGCACAGACTTGAAAATTACGGCATCAGAAATATTAAACTGATGAGATTAACCCTGTCGAAATAAAAAGTCAGTAAGTCATAACAATGAAGCGGTCGTTCATTAAATTCGGAGAATAAAAAAGCAAGAGTACAACATATCTCAGTGGCATACAAAGTGGAATATAATAATAAGCTGGCCAGTGTGCGGGTTGTCTGCCGTCCAATCCTGCCAAGTTAACCTCATTAATAAATTAATTAGATATTATTGTGTTGGCAGCCAGGGCGGCAGCTGCGGGCCACCGTATTGTCCGCCTTTCTCCCTCTTCTGGACACTTAACCACTACAAATAATTTCCTCATCATTTCACATACGACGATCTGATACATGCACATCGGATGATGGAAACTTGACGTTTTTGTCACTGAGTGTGAGAGTTATCTTCTCATACAGTTGTTGCTCCAACGTTGCCCGCAGATGATGCACGAATATAAGAAATAAAACAGGGTCGGGACCCAATGATGTCACTCTCCACCGGGTTTCATTCAATAATTTATCATCAATTATTGTCAGAGTTTACTCAACAATTTATATCAGTTCGGTAATAATCATGGGAGAAATTACTGATAAATAATTGGTGACGATTTAATGATGGATTTTGCAAAATTTTATCAACTCGATCAACTCATACTAGAATGGACAAGTTACTGATAATGATAAAAAAGGCACATGCAGGCATTATCATGGCCGTGTGTATGGCATTAAGCCGTAGGGGGACCAAGATTAGGATGTCGGCCATTACCGCGCGTCACTGACCGTTTATTTTCCGCCGCTATAACCGACGGTGTGGACCGACTTCCTCTAGACGTACATAAAATCGCTATGTACACGCACGAAGGATGTAAATAGCAAAAAATAAAAATCATCTATCACGATTTTATTCGTGAATGAGAGAGAGTCGGTCGATGTAACTGGATAGCAGTGAATTTTCATGCCTACATGGGTATCAGATGTGTTGATGACTGATGATGATGAGGATCAATTTGACAGATTGGTGCTAAATAAAATGGCTGCTTAAACACTTATTGTTGATAACCTGTCTCTCTCTGATGGAGTGCCACGAGCCATTTTCTTGCCCTCTTCTGTTGGTTGATGTACTTATATTCAATAAGTTATAGTAACTAGATTGAAGCATGCTTCATCGTGAGGAAACGATTGTCCAATGTCTGCGCAATGAATTTGAACTTTATCGAATGATATTAATTGACTGTCTATTTTCATTAATTTATTTTGCTGGCGCGTAATAACGCCAATAACTGAGATGCAGATACACGAGTGAAAAGGAGTAACCTTGGTGTGAGCTTACATCAAGCCTGCTGCAGGGTTGTCGCAGGGCTGATGTAGGGTTGCCACAGGGTTGCCCCAAGCCTGCAGCAACATTGACGCCTCAGGTTTTTCGCATTGAAAAAAATGATATTAACCCGTCAGTAGATTGTCGACAATATTTTTATATAATGCATCGAAGGGATTCAGCACGTTCACGTGCGCCTCCATAAATAATTGACGGTGTCACAAATGAATTTGACGATGAGCCCCAAGCCGAGTACTGCACAATCCCAATCGTCCGTTTTTTCCCAACGCAACAAATGTACAGAGGACGCACCATCGGTACCGCTATCCCATGTAGTTAAACGCAATCCGTTCAACTCTTGCACCAGATACTCGTTGATGTTGTCATTTATTTACAGATCCATTCAGCTCCCTCTCACGATTTCACTGCGCTCTGTTAACAGGCCGGGTGAATACGTGGATTTGCAAACCACATTAACTCCCATTTTCCCCCTTGTGGCACTATAGATCGGCCGATTCGACAACGAAAATAAAAAAAAAAAAGAAAAAAAAAATTCACCACGAATATTGAATTGAATACCCTCAATATCCGGTAATGGGAAGTCACACTGATTTTTTGTGTTAATATCCAGTGACAACCCCCTGTAACACCCACCCTCCCCCTCCCCACCCAACCCCACAACCCCTTTGCAAGTGCTCTGTAATTAATTTTCATAATTAACATCGGCAGCAGTTTAGGCTGTCGAATAATTTTTGTAAATATCAACAATTTTTCAATGAACAATTTTTCTTTCGTAAAATAATCGACTGAATATAAAACGAAACGCCCCATGAAAAATGTGAAAGCACATATACTCTCCACTCCCCCTCATTTTATTCACTTTTCTCCATTTTATCTCTCTTACCCTAGCCTCTCCTGTTTTTACGCCTTTCTACTTTTTTCAAGATTTATTCTCAGGCGAGGGCATCCACGTTAAATCGCTTTTTCCGGGTGAAATTTACGACCGGGCAATAACACACCCAGCGCCCTCTTCGAAGCCACGGGGGGTTATGTTTGTTCTATGTATCGAACACCATCATACATAGCTGTCCGGATAAAAATCAAGCGAGAATTCACAGCTTCTAATACAACTTCCCGGTAAATGGACAACTATTGACCACTGAGGTCATTCTCAGCACGTCCACTGCAGCATCAGTGATCTCCACCATCTTGGATGGCCGAGTGTTTGTCAGTGTTGGCTTCAATCATCACAGACAATTCAATCGTTTCTCTTTGATCCCCTCATCATTACCATCATCTAGAATTTCTCGCCTAGTCCACCGAGAAAGAAAATTATTTCCGCCAAATATCCATTTACCCAAGAGAATTATTCGCGTCTCGACTGTCATATTACTCCAGTCGAGTCACCTACAGACCATCCTGATCATGTTTTCATCATCATGATCATGCTGCTCTCGAGGATGATCATGCTGGATACTACCTCGTCTAGACTCCCCTGATGTTTATTCATTTCGAATATTTTAATCTGAAAAATTTCCAACATTTTTCAAATCTCTCTAATTACGGAGATAATTCATTTGAATCTGTAATTGACAGGATCATCTTCGAGAGGGATATAATTGTCGCAATTGAAAACTAATGGAGATCCCTCGGAAGAGATTCGACTGGGGGGAAACGGTAATAAACGATTAAATACATCTCTCGAGTAAACGGACATTTGGCAAAAATATATTTTAATCAGTGTATAACGCCCTAACCTTCAACTTCAATGATAATTGTTATTAACATAATTATCCCCTTCTGATGACGAATCTGCAATAAAAAAATAGTAGTAAAGATATATCCGAGGAGATATTCACGTACATTCATCGCTGAAGACTCCAAAAGACAGGACAACCTCAGCCGACAGGTCTTTGTGCTCTTTCCATCAATTCATCTGATTGTTGTTGATCAATCACTAATCCCCAATTTGAAATCGGGACCTCCTCGACGTCCTCACCCATCGCAGCAGATTCGTCCCAATGAAATCTGGTCTGACAGATCTAAAATACATATTCACGGACTTAGCAAAAAAAATAATAATGGCGTACCGCCTAGAGTCTCCTGTGCGCAGAATCGTTGTCTAGAGGGCGCGACATATTGAACCAAATTGGTGCATATCAAACAGGAAGCAAATTGGAATATATACCGTAAGTCCCTGAAGCGATTCTGTTGGAAATAGGTAGCCCGAGGGCTAGACCACGACGATCGTAAAACCCCTAAACCGCATCCACTGTTCCTACCCCAATTTACCCCCTTCAACTTCTCAATCCCGACATCTTGCATTCGTCAACTAAATTTGTCAGACATCAGTCGTTCCAACAATTGGAAATAACCTAATGATCATCACTATTTCAATTTCTAGCTCTGGAATGAGTTTATCATCTATCCAACTTAGCAAATTTTGGATATTTATGCATATCTGACAGAATTTGGCAGCTCAGGGCGTATGAAAATAAACCAGTTCATTTCGGGAAGCTGCAAGATTCATTACAACTATGGAAAATCGAGGATTATCGTGGATAACGCGGTGGAAAGGTGAACTTATTATGGATGGATCGTTTATTTATGAAAACACTGATAACCAGAAGCGATACGCTAAGATTTCTCCCAATAAAATCGTCAGATCTTCATGATTAAATCCCATTATCAATTTCCCATTGTGTTCTACCTACAGGCTATTTGCTCCATCAGTCTTAAAAATCTATAATTCATATATCCTTTTATTTATTTATTTCGCCTCAACTCAAATAATTGAGTTATCAACAATTAAATGCGCCATTTATTTAACAACATTATATAAAATATATTATATATTATCTTATATTATTTAAATATATAGTGGAGAAATAGCTG